ATTTATATTTAGATCTGTTGTTTACTTGTATGTTCGACAGCTATTATACAAGATCGGCCAGGCGCTAACCAGAACGCTCATATCCCACTCTCCTTTGCGCGCCTATAATGTGACGCACTACTTCATGTAAACCTTTCATACAGTGATTCGCAATTTTTTTAATTAGCGCCTGGGGACGAGGCAGTCCATGTCCGTGGATTACTGTGATCATAAAAAAATAATTAATTAATAAATCATTATAATTAGAAAGTGTGGGAAGTGATTAAACTAAAAATTGCGTTCTTTACCGCATAAACATCGGGCGTTAATCAGACACGCAAAAGGTTCAAACGTAAACTCTATAGTACAAGTAACTAATATGTGTTGAGTGTCTTGGTTCTCGAGCTTATTAAATTTTATATTCTCAAATTAAAAGTATCAGATAAATAAACTGAATCCTTGTCTTATGTCTTCCTCAGTTCAACAGGTACTCGAAAATTTCGTACTTATTGAATGCACGCACGGGTACGTTTATCCCCCATCCGCGTGTTTTATCCCTCCATCCGTATCCGTGCCATCCGTACCCGTGTTTTATCCCAACGCGCCACATGACGTGAGACCTATAGCCTTGCCCGAAAACATGAGACATTGCCCGAAAACATATACGGCCCGATAACATACGGCCCGATGACATGAGACATTGCCCGAAAACATATGGCCCGATGACATGAGACATTGCCCATTGAAGTTATGTATACGCCAAAAACATCTGTTTTCACCAATTTATATTTTTGTCCCATTCCACCCCTCATATTTAATTGCATTTTGTTCTAGGCTGACACTTGATTTAACATATAACTTATATGCCGTGACGTAACGGGTAGTAGCAAAATACCATTCAGACTGGTACGAAGATTCTTTACGCAGAATTATAATTATTAAGGGTATTGCATGTAAGCATCTGATAAATAGCCGCAATACTAACCCGCCATTCCAAGTGGATAGCTAGACCATCTCACTTTTCCACGTTTTGTATTTACATAGTTATATTTTCCATTTAAAATCCTCAGTCCACCAGTCAATCATGTCGTCAGTTCGTCATGTGGATAGACATTTCTAAAAGTTGAAATACAGGCTGGAAAAATTTGGTGGCAGAAAATTGTTCTGGAGAAACTTCCGTAAATTATGAATTGGTGCTTAATTTCATTCCAAAAGTATTATTTCGTTTCGTGTGGGGTTAGGATTTTAGTGTGAATCTTCGGTCATTTGCAATATTGCAAACCTTTTAACATGTATTTTTTACCAGTTAGAATGAAGCAATCTGATTGCCCGAGGAGCCTTTCAGAGCGGGCCGGTTTTTTTGCATCCGGCCCGCTCTGAAACGCAACTGCCCGCTGTGAAATGCAACCGCGCGCTCTGGTTTTCGCGGCAAAAACCGAGGAGTGAAACAATTTTTAAACGAAAAAATCTCCCCAAAACGTTTGAAAAACGTAGCCTAACGATAGTCAGAATACGAAAATAAATTCCATCCAAGCGCTAAAGACTTCATACTAAGCACGATGTACACCAGAATTTACCATATTTTGGGGAAATGCGACTGAAATTCCGAAAGTTATTTGACATGTATAAAACTTACGCCGGAAAAAAATATTTAAAAAAAATTAAAATGCTCGCATGTATTCGGCCACTTAAAAGCGAAAAAAAATTACAGCTTCAACACAAATTGTAAAATAAATGTTTTCCCATTCTAAACAATTAAGGTCTTATTAACTGCAGCAGTGAAAACAAGTCACGAATATAATATTCTCTACCGATTTGTGTCGTGCATTTTTCACTGATATAAATATCGTAAACAAAGTATAAAAAGTCTGTGTTTAAAAACACTTCTTAAAAGCATATTATATTGTGAAACAACAAAAAAAATACAAAAATATAAAAAAAGCATACCTTTTCTTTGTCCTTCTGACCTGTCGAAGCCAAAACGCCAGGCTTAAAACTTTTTATTCCAAAGATTCTTTGCTACCATATTCATGAAAAAAGCATGTAAATTTTTGCTGAAACTATTCGTCTTTTTGTATGTTTCTTGCCAGTTTCCTTGGGTTTTCGTATTCTTGTTTTATATCTTTCAACTTTTCAATTTTTATAAGCCTCGCTTTAAAAATACACACTGCACTGATCTCCGCAAATTAGTTCGCAAGCAACACTGGAATTTTAATGAATTTAATTTTTGCATTTGATAAAAAAATTAAACACGTTATTTCTCGGCTTCGTCCGTCCGGAAGAGAAAAACTGTGCCCTCGGTCTTGAAAATGTCCCTCGCCCTTTGGGTTCGGTAAATAACATATATGTATGTATTGCTTACATGCATACCATAATAAACGACTACCACTTCTATTTTACAAGCTCTGCCATTACGAAAATTTCACATTATGGTTTCATGAATGAATGCATGTGTTCCAAATTGACAAATAAAATAATAATTTCACATGTGAAATTAATTTTCACAATATGATCCTTTAACTTCACATGAGAAATAATATATGAAACTGAAATTTCAAAATTTATGTGAAAACTATAAATTTCACATATAAAATGAGAATTTTCACATGTGAAATGCTCCAATACCACATAAAATTTAACATGAAATTCTATGTGAATTTTCCGGAAGGGTATGCTTCTAATCTCCGGCATTCGCCACCAGTAGTCTTAAAAACCTATTTTACAATCCTGCGTATTGATGTGGCATGAAAATGAATAATAACCTATCTATGATTGGTTATAGAGCATTCTTATAATTTTCACTGTAGACCGAGCAAACGGTAAAGTTGCAGCAAAGATTGTGGATCTCGATATAGAAGTACAAGGAAGACTTTCTGAAATATATGGACTATCCATAGATGTTGGAGGATTCTTCAAGGCTGATATGGAACCTGCGTCATTCCAATCATTGTGGTACAAAATGATAGATGAGCCAAATGATGACTATGGCCAAGGTTCAAGGTTTCAGAGTGTTCTCACAAATGTACAATTTTCTGCAAACTACAAAGACTCGAAAATTGTTAGACATTTAAAAGAAAACATAGGACCGAATCGACAATTGTCTATCTGTTTCAATATTGATTTGATGGGAGAGCACCCTGCATTTAACTACAGTTTCGCTAGGATCGTAGGTTCAATTGGTTTAGCTGGAGAGAAGGCACCGCATTTCTTTGACTATGGACGTTTGTTACGTCGCCTACCAGCAGCAAGAGAACTTAGCTACGCGCCATTCACAGTAGATGGAAACAAAAAAAAGATATATATTGACTTAGGAAACTCACTTGCCATCGGCAGAAATGGATATATCTTAAAATCAGTTGGACAATTGCAACTTGGTGTTTATGCAGGCAAGGACGAAACGGGCGTAGATACTCCCAATTGTTTGGACAAAATTACATGGATTTCTAGAATTTACTACACCGAATATGGTGGATATATTTTCACTGCCGGCATAAGCGTAATCGATATTCCAAGCCACCTGGAACTTAAACTAGATAAACAATTCGTTTTAGCAAAGGTATGTACAGTACAAATCAAAAATCGAAATTGAAACCAAGATAATATGGATAATAAGACAATCAACTGACAAATTGGCATGTCAACAATCTACCTCCAACTAAAAAAACCACTACCAACAAGAAAATACATGCATGCATAAACCCTCGCCTTGCTGACAAAACCATTATGTTGTCCGAACATGAAATATTTAAAGTAGTTGTCATGGTAACGCGAATTATTATATTAAGAATATTTTTAAAACTGAAAAATCCCCTAAAAATATCACATTTAATTACAAAAGTATCATTTTTCCAAACATATACAGCCAATTTAGAATTGGTTGTCCTTTGCAAACCAGAAACTATAAACCTTAAGCTTAAACTCTAAACTCGCAAAGCATAATGGGAGCACAAGTTTCAAGCTTAGTAGTTGAATATTACAGCTATTTGTGAAAGAATTGTTCTCTATAAGAACATGTCTCAAAGAAATGGGCCCCATATATGATCTCTAAACTGATTAGATGATGCTCTCATTATGTTTTGCACGCTTAGAGTTTAAGGTTTAGGGTTTGGAATTTAAGGTTTGCAAAGAACAACCTTTTTGAATTAGCTGTATATGTGAGGTATGTCATTTTACGTTTATCATTTATAGACCTGGACCGAGGGAGATTCGCTGAAATATTACCCGAAGTGATGATATTTCCCGAGGGGCTTTGCCCATATCACTGTGGGTAATATTTCGGCGAATCCCCCTCACTCCAGGTCTAGTTAAACATCTGTCCTTACTTAATCTGTGCTAATGCTTTCCTTTTCACGTGGGTGGGTGTAAATAGCCGTGTGGAATTAGTACCCTCGCCCCGGACTTACGTCCGAAACAATAATACGAACACAAACACTTACACTTACACTAATTTTATACAGTGAATGTGATAAATTTTAACTATAGCTCAAATAATAGAAAATGACTGAAGTTTATTATGCAGTGGTACAGTTCATTCTTTGGAAGGGTACGGTACAAAATATAATTCAGCCGAGGACTGTTATAAAAGAGAAATATATTGGGTCTGTAGGATTGTTTGAATTAATCATAGTATAGATGTAAAGACGTTTTCATCTTTCGGCCCTATTTTGAACTTTCTATCATGGACTTGTCGGCCAGTTCAGCATTTTGTGTGTGCTGTACTGTTGCTAAATTCTTGTGATGGTTGGAGCCTTCTGCCAATATCATGACACCTCCTTGAAAGAACTGGAATATTCGAGTTAAATTAATATTCCTTAAAAATAATGGTTGAAAAATGTACCCTATACCTGTCGATTTTCTCTGCTGACAATCGGCGCCGTTCACCGAATGTAATAAGTATCACGATATTGTTTGAATGTTCTTTGTGTTTCAGATTGATGAAGGTGGGACCTGCCTGAATATTCTCCTGGCAGAAAACAAAGAGGGAATAAATGTCCGTCCATATAATAGTCGTTTAGTATTCCGAGCACAACATGAAGACGTCATACATGGCAATTTTTTTGTTACTATTTTTGGAAAGAAACCAACTACGACTACAAATATTAACTTGAAGTTGGAGACAGCTGATTCAATTATTAGGGATCATCCACTTGGTCCCGCCCAGCCGTTTGGATTATTCAAAGATACGGTTGACCCGAGCATCTACAACTACTACTTTTACGCCATGAATGATCCCAATAACATTAGAAAGATCATTGATGGTCAAATATATGCATTGCAATACACGTTTAATGGTTATCCCTTAAACCCAGATCGAAACGAGGCAATGAACTCCGCGATTTGTATCCATGTCTACGATGAAATAACCCCAAGTGACCAACCAACTTGGGTTATCGACATCCTTCCTATTTTCCAACTTTATGCCAACCTCTTCCCAGTTATGCGAAGTTTTGTCGATCTAGGGGATTACAACAGTGTAGTCGAGAAGAAATGTCATATACTTACAACAATGTCACTGGATTTTCAGGATCCTCAGTACATGCCAGTAACACGCGATCTCTCGCCAAAGAA